GGATGGGAACAGCACCCACTCTGGATTCAAGAGATGTGAGTTCTGGTGCCGTTTTGATCACTGATGGACTATGCAGTTCCTAGCTTCTCAGGGATGATGAACAAGAAAATGCTTTTTTATAAAGGGCTTGACGATCACAGAGTGTCCTACTACATAAAGCCCTTTCAATTGCTGAAGGCAAGGTCCTTCCTCCATCTAGCCCCAACTTCCCCTGGGCACACTTTCCACCAGGGACCTCTGTCTAGAAAAGAAGCCAGAGCCTCCCTTTGAATAGTTCCCTTCACTGCAAACAGCCTTTCAGACTGACAGCCATTACCTTTGACCAGAGCTGGCCTGCAGCCCGCGGGCCCCAGCACAGCCATGCCTGTTGTTAAAATACTGAACCTCTTCTGCTGCTAACTAGTCTCTGCCTCGAGTGCCCCTCCCACCAGGACCCACCAACTAAACATTAACTCCTGTCCCGCAGGGGAGCCTCCAGGGCCCATTTTTGTCTTTGTTTTTGTTTTTGTTTGTTTGTTTTGTCTGTTTGTTGTGTTGTGTTGTACTGCAGCATAAATATTGATTCCCTTCTGATTTTCAGTATCACACCTGCCTTTCACTTATTACAGATATAAGATATGTAACTACGAAGCAGTGGATCAAAGTTTTTAAGGAATGGCAGAATTAAAGATGCAAATAGAATAAATAACAGTATTTATCAATTAGCCATCGTATTCTCGAGGCTTGATTCCAAATGACTTCAGGCTTATGCCAAAATCAAATCCACTCTCAAAAATAAAAACTTGCCATCTTTAAGTGTTTACAAAAGAATATAATACCAGTCCCGGTGACAACCTAAATAGTAGTGCCCAAAACTATTTCACGCAATGACAGCATCACTGAAAAAACTATATGGCCTCATGAGGTGAAGAGTTTCCCCCACGTATGTAATAATTCAGGGACATTATTACTAGTAGATATCAGATGATATTAACAAATGATTAGTTTTTATTTATTTTATTTTCCATCACCATGTATCTGCTCTATGCCCTCCTCCACCTCCACCCACCCCGTCCCCTCTCACCATTGTCCATGTCCATGAGTTCTCTCTTTTGTTTTAGTTTTTAAATGTGTAATGATACTAAGTTAAATTTTTAAAGGAGTCTGTTTTAGAAATATATACATAGGATGAAAGGGATTTGTCTCAAAATAATCTAAAGAGAAGGAATCAGGAGAGTGGGTGTCGGGGGGAGCTAGTGATGTGTCCATGGGGTTCTTTATGCTTTTCTCTCCACTTTTACATATGCTTAAAAAAAATCTTCAAAATATAAAATTAAGCAGAAACTTTTTCAACCAGTCTATACTTCATAGCCACCCCTGGTGGATGGACGCACCCTGGACTAGGGCATGGAGAGACGCAGAGGATCCACAGTCTGACCACTAACTGTGTTGCTGTGGACAATCCTTTCTCTGTTCTGTGCCCAATTTCTTGTCAGTGAAATGCACATAACCATAACCACACACACACACACACACACACACACACGCGCGCGCACACATTCTCAAACAGGCTAGGGGGAGTCTAAACAAGGTAACATTTGTATAATCTTTTGAGCTCCTTGAGATAAAGGTGCCACATCCTTTAAGATCTCAGCACCCAGAGCTGTTGTGCGAAGTTTAGTTAAGATGATTCAGGTTTCCCAGAATCCCCGGAGATTTTTCAGAAACTACCTCATGCTGAGTTCTCTCAGCCAAGTGAGAGAAGGAGCAGAAACAAAAACCCCTGCTTCCACACAGGAGGCTTTTAGCAGCTCTGTTTACTCCTCCGACACAAAGCCTTTGTTTATGTGTGACAGATGGTGCTCCATGTTCCTCTCCTCTCCTCTTCTCTCTCTCCTCCCTCCCTCACTTCATTGGTTCCCTTCTGTTTCTTTGTCCCCCTCCACTTTTTCTTTTCTCTGATCCTTCTCTGCTTCCCACCACTCTTCCTGAATTGGCCCGAGGGTCGGCAAGAGGGATAAAGGCAAACAGAGAGCCAGGACTTGGAGAATACCTACTATTTATTCCGTCGGGCTGCACGCACAGTTGCTTCTTGATTTACAGCACTCATATTTGAAATGTGTTTTTGAAGGCAGAGTGATACACCTTTGAAACTGTAGGGGGCTCAGAGCCCATAAATATTTATGTGGCAGGTTTCCTTGGTTTGCATTCCCAAAGTAATCATAGTCAACATATTCTCTCTCTCTCTCTCTTTCTCTCTCTCTCTCTCTCTCACACACACACACACACACACACACACACACGCACACACACGTTCCTTCCGGGTTCAGCCACTCCCAAAGAACAAATGTAGACCTAACCTCTTACTGAATAGTCACTGCAATAAGTATAGTCTGTAAACCAGCCAGGGGAGAGGAGGTGTGAAGGACTGGACATGAAAGAGCCTTTTCTAGATCCATATGGAATGCGGGTTCTGCTCCTCTGAAACCTAAGGAAGTGATTTAGCCTTTCCCAGCCTCTGTGTCTTCTGTAAAATGAAGACAAATGAATGACCTATAGACTCTGAATATCTGTGATTCTATGAGCACTTCACACCCATAAATATCAATCTACCTGGCACCCCAATACCTGCTGAAGGTAGGGGATGACCTGTCAAAGTAGATGTCAAACCAGTGCTTGAATGAGGTGATGGGTGGCAGAGAAGTTAGGGGCAATGGGAAAAGAAAAAACGGCTCTGAGTTCAGGAGGGACATAAATAAGGTCAGAGATGGTGATCAGAGAGTATGATATAATAGATACCAAATGGGAGTAGGAGGCAAGATTTGGCACCTGCCTGGATATCTAGGAAAAAAAGATAGCAAAAAAGCAAAATTAAGTGAGAGGATGAGGGTATCTGCTAATTCCACTTAGTCTCCTGAAATTTATTCTCAGGTCTTAGGCATGCTTCCACCAGAGGCGTTCTCCAAGAAGCGGCATACTGGCCCTTTTAGAAGAGGTCTTAATTTAGCGCCTCATGCTACGTAAGGATAATGACTACCCCCCATGGCCACTCCCACCCCCAGACAAGAAAGGAAAAATCCCTGCTCAGAAAAATAAAGTCACTATTTGAAAAGTAATAGCTACATCTGCAAATGATTAACTCAAGGATTTATTACCAATTAGGACTATAAATCTCTGCTTACTTTGGCTGCTGAAAAGTTGATTTCATGGGGAATTGTGGGGGGGGGGGGGCGCGGTGATTTGAGACAAGGAAGAAGAAATCCAAGCTTAAATAGACACACTTCAAATTCAAAAGGGAGCAGGGTTTTCTCAAGCACCAGAGCGGAAAGCAGGCTTGACCTTGCTATTCTAAGCAAAGAGCCCAGCAGATGCCTCCAGGGTTAGCAAAGCCAAAGGGACTAGTGCCACTTAGAAGAGGGTGTGGGGGGCCTGGAAGGGGGTTGCATAACCGAGAGCCCCCCCGCCCCAATGGGCAGGCCATAATATGGCCAGAGTCAGCGGTGGAGTTCTATGTTCCTCATCTCAGGGGTTCTCAGACTTGGTGGACCATTGGAATCACCTGTGGAGCTTTAAAAACCATACCTATGCTTGGGTCACACTGCAGCTCAATTAAATCAGGTATCAGTGGGGCTCAGATATCAGAGCGGTTCAAAAACCTCCCAGGTGACCCTCAGGTGCAGCCTCGGTTGAAAACTACTGCTGAACTGGTATCATTCCCACAGCAACCCCATATGATAGGTACAATGCTCTCATGGTTTACAGAAGATAAAACTGAGACACCAAGAGGCTACGTAATTACACAGTGAATAGTGGTGGAGGCAGGATTTGAACCCACAGCTCACACTCTTGATCATCATGCCCTATGGCAGTGATGGTGAACCTTTTGAGCTCGGCGTGTCAGCATTTTGAAAAACCCTAACTTAACTCTGGTGCCGTGTCACATATAGAAATTTTTTGATATTTGCAATCATAGTAAAACAAAGACTTATATTTTTGATATTTATTTTATATATTTAAATGCCATTTAACAAAGAAAAATCAACCAAAATAATGAGTTCGCGTGTCATAGGTTCGCCTCACTGCCCTATGGCCTCCCATGGCTATAGTTCTCCGTTTTCGAGATAGAAAATGGGGCTCTCAAATTATTTTTAGATATTGTATCAAATAATTCTAATAGAAATGAAACATGGGCCCATATTAATGCTACAAATTGATTAGAGAGATAAGTTTCTTTCCTTTGCTTGGAGTGACATCAAAACAAGGAATTGCACTGGATATGTCATGCTTATTAGGAATCCTCCTTCATTCATTCCACAGATATTAAGTGCCAGTTTTCTGCAGAGTCTATAAAATAGAACCTCGCTGTGCAGATAATCAATCGCACAATAGCTGTTCTAAGGGCCATCTCAGTGGCATGCACTAGGCGCTCTGGGAGGCCACAGAAGGGAGTGGGCAGCTCGGGGTGGCAGTAACGTATTGTGCTGTCAGTGAGTGAAATATGCCAAGGGAAAGCATGGGGTGACATACGCATGTTGCTAAGTGGCGAAATAGAAGATGGAGGCCTGGGATAATAAAATGTCAGAATGTTGGGAATGCACTGTTTCTAATCCATAAATATTTAACCCAAGGTTAAAAAATGCAGATTCCTGGCTGGCACCTACACGAATGTTGTGAGCTGATTGTCAACAGGGGAGGTGGGGGCTGGGGTGACCTAGAGAACCCACATCTTGTGTACGGAGTCAGCTAGTTCTTACCTCCAGCCCTAAGTAGCCATACAGGAATATGGGTGCAGTGTTGTCAGACTTTTTTAGGGGAAGCTGTAAATATGGGTTGCCTAATGTCCAGTCTCCCAATTTGTAATGGCCTTTCATTCTAGTCTCTTCCAAAGTCAGTGTAGACCAAAGAAAACACACCGACCACCAGCCCTGCTTGCACCTTGGAGAGGGATCTTCCCACTCCTCCCATGGATCCCAAAGCAGCTGCCTGGGCCTTTCATTCACCTGTGCCTTTCCCTCCTGCAGGAATGCTCATTTATTTTGGGTACGGCATCTGGAACAGCACCCTGGAAATCAGCGCCCGCGAGGAGGCCCTGCACCAAAGCACGTACCAGAGCTACGACGTGGACGACCCTTTCTCCGTGGAGGAGGGTTTCTCCTATGCCACCGAGGGCGAGAGCCAGGAGAACTGGGGCGGGCCGTCCGAAGACAAAGGCTTCTATTACCAACAGATGTCAGATGCCACGGCCAGCCCCCGGACAAGTAGCAAAGCGAAGAGCAAAAGCAAACACAAACAGAACTCGGAGGCCCTGATTGCGAACGATGAGTTAGATTACTCGCCAGAGTAGGAGTAAACAACACAAGAAATCCATAGAAATGGTGGTGATGTATTTTCAGTAACTTAACCTGTGGGCTAGAAGGTGAAAACGTTTTTGCCTCTCATTTCACAAGTCCAGCCTTCCCCAAAGTCAGTCCCCAGTCATAGCCTGTCATTTACTACTTTTGCTCTTCAGGATAGTTCTGTTGAAGAGACTGGTCCCCTTATAGAAAAAAATATTTTTTAAAAAGCTACAAGAAATTCTAACTTAGATGCAACCATCAGAGCTGATGGCAGCAAATGTTTCCCAGGCCTTTGCTCTGCTGGTTGAATCGTTTTTGCTTCTTATGGAGACCCCAAGAAGCAAGGAGAAAACTTCTTGGACCACACTGAGGCTGCAGCTCCTTGTGGAGATGTGCCAAAGCCGGTGGGAGTGGGCACAAGGCAGCATTTCTACCACCTGAGACCACAAGGGCAAAGCTCTGTGCTCAGCATACGGGCTGAGGGCGGCTCCCCCAGGCCTGGGTGGGCAGGTGGCATTGGCACTTCCTCAGCAAGCAGCATTTTGTCCTGAAATCTCACAAAAACAAATTCATGGAAAAGATACATGCTTCTTGTTATTCACCAACGTTCTCACGGTCTCCAAAATATAACTTTAGGATCCCCCAAAGGTCAGGGACTCTGAAACCATTTCCCCAAAGGATTCAGATTCGCCACAAAGCAGTCGTGCAGACCCAGTAATGGGGTGAGGAGCACCATCAAAGCTCTACGTAAATGCCCACAAAACATTAAATAACGTCTCTTGCAGCGAAGGCCAGGGGGTGCGGGCAGAAATTAACTCCCTGTCAAGCCTTCTCTTATAGCCGATTCTAAGCTCCTGCTGATAGAATGGAAGGGGGCAAAGGTGGAGCATGATTTCATGGCACTAATATGCCTTGAAGAAGGAGGCTGTTTGTTTTATAATCAGATAAAAATCTTTACAAGGAGAAGTGACCCAGCCACTGAGATCACATTGCAAATTCTACTTCAGATTTCTAAAATTATAAATTCTGTCGTGTGTTGGTTGTGTTTTTTTTTAAAGATATGCCACCATTTGATTGGTGGGTGCTGCTCTGAAAACAAAAATGTTGAAGCACGGCTTCTTAGGTAATTGCATTCCATGAGATCACATTTCACTTCTGAGCCTTATTCTTCTGGGGTAGCTCACTTTTAGACGTGTGTTTTTCTCCCTGTTATTTCCCAGAGCGATTTCACTGAAGCCCAGAGAAATAGCTACCTGGTGAGTCTAAATCTGGGCCTTAGGAGGTGCTCTGGAAGGAATTACTTTGAAACAAGCTGGAGGAGACAACCTGCAACAGGAAAAGGCTCATGGTCTATTTACTGCTCTTGGGTTGCAGGGATTCCAACACTGCATGGAGATATGTGCACATGTATGTGAAGGCACGGGGCTTGGGTTAAGCTAAAATCTCTGTGAGAATTTCTGAAAATGGGGCAAAATAGCAAATTCCTTATTCTCTCTCTCCTGGATCTAGTGTTAAGCCAAAAGTTTTCCAGAACACATCAACAAATGTTTAAATCTATTCTTTTTTACAGGTTGAGGTTAGTGCCATCTTGGCACACTGTAGGATTATGGACAGGAAGCAGAAGTCCGTTTTTCACTCAACGAATCCTGATTGAGACTGTACCATGTGATAAGTGATAGGAATGCAGAAAAGAGTGACATGTGCCCTTGGAGGCTCTCAGCCCAGGGAAAGAGCAGCACTGCAGCCTGATAGTTGTAAATAAAATAGCTGAACATCACAAGTCCCCATGGCTGATGCACTGGGCTTTAACATAGCATTTTTAAAAGGTCAATTGAAACTATAGTTTTTTGTGTGGATTTTTTTTGTTTCTTTTTTTTATTGTCTAAAGTTTTACATATGTCTCCTTTTTCCCCAATTGACCCCCCAACCTTAGCCATTCCCACCCCAGGGAAGCCCCCACCGCCCCATTCTGTATCCATTGGTTATGCTAATACGCATGCATACAAGTCCTTTGGTTGCTCTCTAACCCCCCTTCCCCTACCATTTGTCTCTAGATAGATCTATTCTTGTTTGAAACTATAGTTTTAATATGCTTTTAAATAGATTGCATATCATACCCATAGCCAACATGTCATTTAAATTCAAATAACTACTATTTTCTAGACCTTCTTTTTCATTCTTTTATATTAATTGTTTATAGCTCAAGTTTTCTGAGGCCATTTGTCATTTAACTGTAATGCTTAGCAATGCTGTTGTTGTTTGTTTGTTTTTCTCCCCTAACCTCAACCATAAAGATACAGTACCTGGTCTGTGAAATAGATCCTTGGGCATTATTTGTAATCTAATCATCAGCAATTTTGTGAAAATGAAGTTTTGAACTGGTTTTAGAATTCAACGAATCTGCCTAGTTTAAATAAAATCTGGTTAAGCTTGGGATATATCCAGGTAGGTAGTGTGGGGCTGTATTCATTATTATAAATGTTCAAAGAGAAACATGAATGCAAAATAACCAAATCTTAATGTGGGTGAAAGAGCTTCCTTTTACTAGAGAGGTTTTAGGTATTAAAGTCATAATAGTCTGGTGGCCGCTGTATGCAATTTCTGGAGCATGAGGAGAGAGAACACAAGCTTTGGAAATACCATTGGCATTGATTTCATGAAGATCCTATGAACTACTTCATTTCAGAAGTCACTTCTCCCAAGTAGTATCTCTTTTAAGCTTTGATCTCTTTATTTCTCTAAAACTTTTAAACTTTTTAGTCATCTTCCTAGCAAACTTGGTTTTTTAAAATTAGTCAATATGATAGAAAAATGTTCTTATAAGGTAAATAGACCTATGTTCCCCACCTCTCCTGAAACAGTCCCAGATTTCACAATGCAGTTTTCGAATATCATCAATCATTAGGATGATTTTACTAGTGTTTCCTGACAATTTTCTTAAGACCACATTTGTGAAACCACATTAAAAGTAAGATCACCTTATAAATAATTACCATAGAAATTTAGCCCCCTTGAAAGGAGTTCAAGGAGGACCTACATTTTATTAAATTCTTCTCTGCAGCAAGAGCTCTTCCAGTGAGGTTACATCATGTGGATTGGTGGTTTGGAGCCAATTATTTGATTTTTTTAAGTTGTTGTTGATTTATTGGTACTCTGCTTCATTTTAAAAGGAATCGAGGTGGCTATTAAGTTACATATAATACCCCAAATAATTAAGTAGGGAGCTGTGGGCAAACAAAAAGGATAAAACAAAGCTAGAAGTGTGGTAAGTACTCAAATGCAGAAACTTGATATGCAATGCTAATTGCCAATGAGGGGCAACTTGAAAAATAATGCGATTGTTGGTAATGACAGGAAGTACAAATAAGAATAAATCTTCCTCTATAAGGGCAGATTGTAATAATCTAAGCATAGGTTAGTAAAACCCACAGATAAGTTTCAGGCCTGGATTTTACCAGGTACCTGTGCCTGGCACATAGTGGATGTTCCATAAATATCTGAATGAATGGATGAATGGATGGATGGATGGATGGATGTGTGATGAATGAAAGGAAAATAAAATATAATTTATTCAACAGGTTTTTATGGAGTGCTTATTATGTGCTATGGCATACAAAATAGGGGAAATAAGATATATAAATAAAGAACAATCATAAAAATGACAGGTAAGATGAGGAAGTTATAATGTTCAGTGAGGGTTCAAATATGGAAAAGACCTCCTTCCATTGAAAAGATCATAGAGAATGCAGCCCTTGGGTTGAGCCTTGTGGAATGGACAGAATTTTACAGGTAGAAATGGGGGAGAGGCTTGCTGAGTGGAAGATCAGCATGAGTAAGGTGTAGAATGTGGCTGATAGCTGTCTCCTGACTAATAATTTGTATTGTGCCTCCTTCAAGGAAAAGCAAGAAGCTAGTTTGGCAGGAGCTTATGAATTATGCATGATTTATGTATGTAACAGTAAGAAATTTGAGAAGGCAGGTTAGGGCTCACCCACAGATAAACGTGCAAGTGGAACTGAGCTGGCTGGCTCTCCTTGGGTGGGGAGGCACTGGGGAAATGATGAAAGTATGAATCAGGGAACATTGGACTTTAAGAAGCTGGGGCAGTGACTTCCTCTGCCTATGCAAGGAGCTAGCAAGTCACATAGACACTCCAAGTTGATTTACCATATTAAACAGAACAAATATCCATACTGAAGGCAATATATGGTTCTTCCTTTGATCATTAACCTAACATTTAATGTATGGACAGATAAGACAAAGTAATATGCAGCCACTTTAAAATTCTCAACAATAGAATTTAAACAACCAAACCTGGTAAGTTTTTATTTCTATCTGAGCTACACAGTAAAACCTCAGCTCAAGACTTTACTTAGCTTGAGCACAAGGAGTTTGAGAATCAGCCTAAAAGAGTAGATGAAATTGCTGTTGCCTTTCCCAGCAGGTTTTACCAGGTCCAGAGATATCAGTGGAAGCCCACTGAGGGTCAACCACATGTTCCTCAGATTAGAATGTCTTGGTGGGTGGGGATGTCAGAAATCAGGAAATGTGTTTGAAGCTAGAGATGGGGTCAGCTTACCAAGTCCAGGCAGCAGTTAATGTTCCACTCTTGGATTTAAGCCTTCAGGTTAGTGAGCAATCCACAGATGGCCTTCATTTCTCACGCTGGGGCAGAGGGAGGTGCAAATGAAACACATAATCCAAAGCTGGCCAACTGGGGCCAGCACTCCATTGTCATGCCATTTGGAACAAGACTAGTCAAGGAAGGCGTTTCTATCCAAAACTTTTACTAAGCCTAAGTTACTCTTGTGTGCAAGTACCTCCCTGATGCTGAAGACCTGTTTGTCTACAGGGGGCTTCTGAAGGTCCCAAGAGAGAAAGGTGCCTCCTGGTCAGCAGTGAAGTCCGGCCCTGAGACAGCCAATATTTGTAATTAAACAGTGCGCAAGTGCAGAAACAGCATCCCAGACACCGGCCCCACCACAAGCAGGAACCAGGATGCTGTTTC